AACTCATTTTAAATTTCTAAATATTTAAATGAATATTTTAAATATTTTAAAAAAAATACAACTCACACATGTAGTAAATACGGCGCACATAAAAAAAATATTTAGAATAAAAATATTTACCCTAAAACAGTAAAATTAAAAATATTTTAAAAAATAAATTTTAAAATACAACTCAAAACCTCAAAATACATCTCAAAATTCATAACAAATAAAATTTCTCTTTTTAAAACTCAACTCAAAATTCAAAACTAAAAATATAATTTTACATTCAAATCATAATTCTAAAGCTAAATTAAATATTTTATTTTTCATTTTCTACCTATTTCATTCAAAATAAATTGAACCTTAAATAAACCATCCATGCGTTCCACCCCAAAGAAAATTCATTGAATGTACCCAGCATTCCGAACACCTGTCTCTCTCCGTACTCCAAATCCCCAACGAAAATGGAGGGAACAATTACTGGGTGGTATCAGCCTGTAAATAATTTTAATTTGTGATAAGCATTATAATAATTTTAAATTAGTGAGAAATTAAATTTAGTTAATTAATTTTTTTAATATTTTTTATTAAACTGTTAAACCTACTTCACTAAACCTAACCCACTACACCACTACCACCTCACCTACTCCACTAAACCTAACCCACTACACCACTACCACCTCCACTTCACCTACTCCACCACTCCACCTCCACTTCACATCTCCTATATAATGTACATACAATACAATCAAAAATATCAATCAATAAAACATCAATATATACATAATTCATTCTCTATACAATACTTAACATGGTATCAGAGCTATAGGTTAAAGATCTTGGTGTTCTTCGCCTTCCGGCGGGCGGCAACCTTGCCTTGACCGCCCGCCGGATCTCAACCAATTCAAACCTCCCTCTCCCTCTCGGCACCTCACTGAAACACACTACCATGATCATCACTCAATCAATTCACAGACCCACCCATCAGCGTCACCCGAGTCTGCAACAGTAGCTTCGGAAGCACTCCTCAGAAATTCTTGACCAGTAGAATATATGCCATTTCTCCCATGCTTCAACAAGCACTCCTCTCACATGCTTCCCTTCTCTTTAGCCTCTGCCACACCCTTCGTCTATCTCTCCTCTCTCCGCCGTCATGGCCGCGTTTCGCCGCTTGATACAGGCGGCGCAACCAGAGGCCCTCCGCCGTCTGGGGATTACGACTACGAAGACTTGTTGAACTTTGTCATGGGTTCATGTACATGTGGCGATCGATGAACCAGTTCCACGAAGTGCAGAATCACATTGTGCAGCAAGTGCGCAGCCTCGCGAACAGATCAACCAAGGGCGAGTCTACCTCTGATCTGCATCAACAAGCAACTCGCGACCTTGAATCAGCCGTCTCTGCCTGGCACTCAAGTTTCTGCCGCCTGATCAAATTCCAACGGGACTTCATCTTCTCCCTCCATGGTTGGTTCAGGTTGACCACCATTCCCGTCAACAGCGAACCACCAACCATTGGCAACAGAGAACCCTTGATGCATTCGCCTTCTTTGACGAATGACGAATGAAAGCTTGCCCTTGATCGTGTCCCAGACACAGTCGCATCAGAAGCCATCAAACGCTTCATTAACGTTGTCCATTCAATATCGATGAAACAAACAGAGGAGGTCAAGGTCTCTCTATGTGCCTGAGACAGCACAGGCACGCGAGATGAAAAACTAACACACACACATGACAGCTCTCTCTCTCTCTGGGTCTCTTATCTCTCTCTCTCGGGTTGCATTTTGAGGGGGGGAAGCTGGGCACACATACACGAGGTGCACACACATTTCATCATTACATTTCAAACTTTATACACCACCACCCCTTGTTCCCCACTCTCTCAGTCTATATATATATATATATAACCCATCATACACTGTGTGTGCGCGCGCCACCCTTCTTCACTCATTTATTTTATTATTATTTTGTACAAATCCATACCCACTCTAATTCATACCTACTCACTTTTTAAAACTCATGCTGATTCACGTTACCCTTACTTTACCTACTTTACCTTTATTTATTTTATTTTATCTTCTTCTTTCTTTAAAAAAACAAAACAAAAAACAAAAAACAAACAATTTACAAATTTGCACAACACCCATATTTTATTAATCTCCGGGATCAACCCCGATCCCAATTTTACACACACACACAAAAAAAAAAAAAAAAAAAAAAAAAAAAAAAAAAAAAAAAAAAACAAAAAAACAAAACAAAACAAAACAAACAAACAAACAAACAAACATCACTCACACACCCACCCACAGTGGGCTTTTTCTTCTCTACTCTGCCGCCGGTCTCTTCTTCTTGCCTCCGTCCTGAACGGCCCTTGCCGGTGTTGCCTCCGTGTTTCCCACGCCACCGAGCACGTTCACTCCCCGCTGCTCCTTCACTGCAGCATATGGCGGATCTCCAAATCGGAACATCACGGTGGCCTTCCGCTTCAGCTCCTTATTTTCCGCCTTTAGCACACTTATCTCTGCTCGCGCATCCTTATACATGCGCTGGAGCAGAGCCAGTTGGGCGTTTAACTGCTGCACCTCATTTGTTCTACTCTGCAGTCGGTGCGACAGGTTTGTGACCGCCGTCATGGTCTCCACACATGACTTCAAAGTATACTGATTGGCCTCAATATCAGTTTGCACCGCCATTTTTTGCTCCACCGACCGCATCGGAAAGTTCAACGGAGCAAAACCAGAGGCGCTTGGTTGAGGTTCACTGGCCACCGCACCAGTTATCTCTCTTATTGACTCGTTGAGGTCGGGAAAGAGAGTGAGCAGACCACGGGACGAAGAGGCCCTATTCTGGGTAGCTGAACGGGAAGACGAGGCCATGTTTTTGGGTTTCTAAGTGTTTCAGAGAAGCAGTGATTACCGATTGGTACTGTCAGACAGGGTTGGTTACAGAGTGTTTCAAGATTTGCAGCTCTTAGAGACAAGCTCTCCGAGAGTTCAGATGTTTCAGACTGGTTTGCACAGCCTCCGCCTCACCCTTGGTTTAAATAGCCAGGGCCGATCTGCGCATCGCGTGCCACTTGCTGACAGACGACAAAACGGGCGCGCAAGCCAAGGTAGTCATGCGCCTCGCCATAATGTCCGGCACACCTTTTTATGAATTGGGCACGCCTTTTGAAAGATTGGGCACACCTTTTGAGGGCACGACTTTTGAGGGCTCGATATCTATATCCATGTATATCTTTTGGGCAGCCTATATACACACTCATACAGTGTCTTCTACATCGGTCAGCTTTATCAATCCCTTTGTTTCAACCTCAAATAGGTTTCTATCTTCACACATATTTGAGTTTGAAGGGTTATACACAGTATCATGTATAAGTCGCTCATGGCGCACTCCCTAAGTCGCCCCCTTAGTACACCACCACAATCTGCTACAACGGTCCGACATGACCCCATAAACTGTCTGCTACAACGGTCCGACATGACCCCATAAACTGTCTTCTACATCGGTCTGACACGACCACACACTGTCTGCTACATCGGTCCGACATGACCCCGTAAACTGTCCCGACATTGATTCCGGTCAGTTTCTACAACGGTCCGACATGACCCCATAAACTGTCTTCTACAACGGGTCTGACACGACCACACAGTGTCTGCTACATCGGTCCAGCATGACCTCGTAAACTGTCCTACTACAACGGTCCGACATGACCCCGTAAACTGTCTTCTACACCGGTCCGACATGACCCCGTAAACTGTCTTCTACAACGGTCCGACATGACCCCATAAACTGTCTTCTACAACTGACACGACCACACAGTGTCTGCTCCAACGGTCCGACATGACCTCGTAAACTGCATTCTACACCGGTCCGACATGACCCCATAAACTGTCTTCTACATCGGTCTGACACGACCATACCGTGTCTCCTATCCTGTTTTATTTATCAGTTTACTTTCCTGTTTTGTTACTCTCTCCAAACTCAAGTTGGTTTGTGTCTAACCTCCTTGAGTTTGAGGGGGACTGTTAAACCTACTCCACTAAACCTAACCCACTACACCACTACCACCTCACCTACTCCACTAAACCTAACCCACTACACCACTACCACCTCCACTTCACCTACTCCACCACTCCACCTCCACTTCACATCTCCTATATAATGTACATACCATACAATCAAAAATATCAATCAATAAAACATCAATATATACATAATTCATTCTCTATACAATACTTAACATAAACAATAAAACTTCATTCACGTAAAATTATGTCATTGTTATACTGATTGTTTATACGTAAGATTATGTCATCGTTACACTAATTGTTTTTTTAAGAAAGATATCCCTTTCCAATAAACAATCGGATTGGAAGATGTGGTTAGCCCATGAGTTTTGCTCTCTGAGTTGGCCCATGGGTTTTGCTCTGAGTTCATTGTACTAATTTGAACCGTTTTATATGTAAGTTTGTTGAGTACGTCATTCTTATAAAAAAATTATACTGATCAAATACCGATAAGACTTAATTAAATTACATTTACATTAACGGTATATATGATATTCAAAATAAACAACTCAACACTACAACAATGTAACGGCCCCAAAATACATGTCACAATTATCTTTATTTAATTATGCAATAATACGAATTAATTTAAAAATATCTGATGAGGCTACAACTTCGAGACTGAAATTGACGACCACAATGGGTTCAAAAACCGAAATTGGGTACATGGATATGCTAATGGGAATTTTTAAAGTCATTTGGGATATTTAATTGAAAATTGAGTTCGTCTGATTCATTAATTTTAATAAGTTGAAATTAAATAATTGAATAGAATTAAAACTTAATACATATTAGTATAATTTAATTTAAAGCAACTAAGATCATTAGATGATGAGATTACATGAATTTGAATTACTTGACTACAATTTAAATAATGAAATGAATTATTATTATTATTATAAAGCATTCTACTCATCTATTGATCAGATCAAAGAAAGAGAGTGAGTGCTTAGTGTTCACCTAGGAATACCACACGCAGAGAGAGAGAGAGAGAGAGTGCCGGTAGAGCTCTTGAGAGGAGAAAAACTAAGGTATTAAAGAGAAGGCCAATTCTTGTTGTATTCCATCAAATTGAAGATATAAAAGGTTAGTTTTGAGCTTAATTTTTGATTAGCTATCATTAACTAACCAAGAATAAAAAGAATTTAAGTTCAATTTCTGGAATTAGTAGCTAATTTAAGAAGGTACAACTTGTATTCATGTAATATGAAGGAATGATGAAGTATGGTTGGAAATTCTTTCATGCGTGTGTTAATTGTTGTGGAATTCTTGTGTTTGAGGTCAATCCTTACATGTTCATGAGTTTCGAAATTAAGATCATGAAAATAAAGAGTTATGAAATCACATGTTTATAATAACTTGAGAATAGGTGAAATTGAGTAGGAAGTCCACATGCATGGCATTAATTCATAAAAATATATTCATACAATTGTTTTTCTTGCAGGGTTCTTGAAATTGGAAGAATAAACTCCATGAATTTCAAAGATTGGAACCCTAAGGTGCATGAATTATGTTTTTGCCTTGAAATTCAAGGGTTTGATATTTTTCCATGGAATTAAGCTTCAATTTAAAGTTATGAGCTTGTTAGAAGCTATAGATGGTAAATTCCACATGTTTATGGAAGGTTTTGGGTCTTGATTTGTTTGAAATTGAAGTTGAATTGTGAAATTTATATGTTTATAAGTTTCTAATTCATTAATTTAAACATAACCGAATAATTGTAATTTAATGTGTATGAGTCTAATTTAGGCTTGATTGTGTAATTAGTGAACTTAATAAGGATTGGTTTATGATTAGATTATTTATATTTAATTAGTTTGGTTAATACATGACTAAACATGTTTTAATTAGAGGTTAAAGGAAATTAATAATCTAATTAATTCTTAATTCTAGTCATTCATATTTAAAAGCTTAAAGCTTCAGTAAACTAAATATGTTTAAGATGATTGTGTATCGTGCTATGCATATTTGTGATTGTAGATCATGAGTCAAGGACTGCTTGACCAATCGTTCTGGAAGCCCACTGTGAGTAACGTTATTGTAAAAATATGTTCATATGAATTATGATTCAAATGTGATTTGATAAATTATAATTTCTGAAATGATATTTGTTTACCTGAACGAATGTCCTATGTTTGATATCTATTATGGCATCCATAGATAGTCCCAAGTCATGGGGGACAACATGTTAATGTGGGTCCATGACATATATATGATTACAAGATTTCGTTAGCCACTCCATTGTAGTGATATGTGTTTAATCAGTATCCAGAACCGATTACTCTAGTCGGAAGACGATATGTGATATGTTCTATAAGATATACCATTATGTTATGTTCTAATATGAGACTGATATGAATGATTGTGTCATGATTTGTTTTATGGATATAATATATTTAGAATTCGTTCACTAACTCATTTACTTTAATGTTATTCACTGGGTTTTAGCTCACTATTTATATATATATATATGTATAGGTGAGCGTTCTGGAGGTCAAGTCTAGAAGGGGTCTTTAGCCGATCTACCCTTTTGAAGCCTCCGAGTTGGGGCTAGGCCTGGAAGGCCGTTGTCAAGCTTTTGATCGTGAAATAAACTTTTGTTATATGCATATGTTATGTATAAGATGTTAAGTTACAAGTTATGTACTGAATATGGGTAAATTAACGTTTTTGCACATAAATTTTTGTTCATATAGATGTACAACTCATTGGACTACTGGTGTTTTTGAATATTGTTTCCGCTAGCCCCGATTATTTTTTATTGTACAGGAATGCCTTTGGTAATCTCAGATTACTGGCCGGTTACGACACTAAACCTATAGAGGCGAGTTTGGGTCGTGACAAACGAAAACACACTTTAGTGGCACTGCACTAGTGGCATGTTTTTAGAAAATGTCACAAAAATAATATTTTGTGACACGTTTTTGAAAAATGCCACAGAACCACAAACATATAAGGCTCTAGTGGCATTTCAATAAAGAAATGTTACATCAATTTTATGGCATTTTATAAAAGAATGACACAAGAAATTGTTTTAGTGACATTTATCAACAGATGCCGCTAAACTTTAGTAACAATGTCATTTTTTAAAAAATGCCATTAAACTAGGTAGGTGCAAATTACTTTCTATGGTATTAGGTAAAAAGTGTCATTAACAAATATTTTATAGCATTTGAGAAATGCCACTAAGTCAAAAACTTTCCAAGCTATCCAATGGCATTTTTAGAAAAAAACAAAAATGTCAATATATTTTCAAAATTTTTAAAATGCTCAAAATAAATAAAAACAAATAAATTAAACTCAATATAACATATTTTTTTAACTGTACTTGGCACATGTACAAAATTGATCAACGACTGTATATGACTTAACAGAAAAAATAAAATTTCAAATTGCTCTTCTGTACAATGATAAAGTTTCTTGAATTTTAGTCCTTGTAGTTTCAATTAACTCGATTTTGACTATGAATTTACAGATTTATCTCAATTTACTTCAATTGCTTATAATTGTTGAGTAAATTACATCAATAATCTTTACATTTTGTTCTTCCATATAGTTTTAATTGACTCAATTTTGACACTTAATTTTAGATTTTACGTCAATTTAGTCAAATTGATAACATCTTTAGGGTCTTTGATAGAAAATTTTCATTGGATAAGTTACTGAATTGACCAAGTATTTTGTTTTACTCCTAAAACAATGACAGGTTGCATTTGTCATTAAAAAAAAAATACTATCAATTAGACCAATTTGAGACAAAATAAAAAAAAATCAATGTTAAAATCGATTCAATTAAAATCACAAAGACTAAAATGACATAATAGCCAAAATAAAGGGACTAATAGTGTAATTATCCCTAATTGTTAGCATTTTTTAATGATAAATATGCATACAAATGACATATGTCATTCTTTTAGAGGTAAAATAATAAATTTGCTCAACTCGTTGAGTTAACCTCAACAAATTCAATGATCATTTCTCATCAAAAACACTACCGGTATTATTAATTGGACTAAATTGACCAAAATTAATATTTATTTTTTTTTATTTAAAATATGAACAAACTTAATCCATATGATGCATCTGGTCTTATTCTTCACCGTTTGTTTTGTGTTTTTTTTTTATATATTATATAACAAAGGAAATAAGGAAGCTTAAAAGAAACAAACTATAGCAACCCTAATTTTTTCTTAAGTCATTATTTATTATTATTATTATTACTTCTTCTTTTTTTTGCTTTATTAATTGCGTGGATACATGAGAATTTTATGTGGTATTTGTTGGACCATTTTAATATCTTATATTTATTTATTGGTTTATCTTTTTCATAAATGGGGTTTTATTACTTTGATAACCTCTTGGCCATAAATGGAGGTTAAATAGAATTCATGAACTTGGTTAATGGTCATTATTTTGGTGTAACCATTTTCTTGTTTAATGGTCATTATTTTTGGTATAACTACAAGGTCCTTATAGCCTATATATGGTCTACTCTTTACTATCTATACAGATCAACTATTTTCTATACAAGAGAGATTACTAGCAAAGAAGGGTGTTTTATTGGTGGAGCTTTGGGTTCACCATCTTGTGCAGAGTTGGCCTGAACCATACGACAAGTGGTCGGGCTGTTGTATCCTGGAGGGGACAAGTCATAGTGTTGTGACTGCTGCATCGGTATTTGGATTCTTCCTACCGCAGTGGGCTTGATCTCCTTAAAGAAAACGAGATATCCGTGCCTCAGCCTGATCTATTTGTATCTCATTTTCTTTGCATCATTTATCAATAATATAGTTTAGTTTCTGGTATTTTCTCCAACAATTTTAAGGAGACCAAACATGGAACAAGTACCAGAAAAAAACCAATGATGGAATTGGAGATCTCAACAAACCTTTCAAGTTCAAAGGAGTTCATTTTAAGAGGTGGAAAGGAAAAGTTCTTTTTTACCTTAGCCTTTTGAAAGTTGCATATGTTCTTACAGAAAAGAATCCGAACAAAATCCCAACCGAGGAGATGAATGATGAAGACTATAACTGTACTAGACCTGACATTGCATATGCAGTTGGAGTACTTAGCAGGTTTATGCTGATTAATTTTATGATGATTACTATGACACCACTTACATGTTATCTTCTATTAATTTATGGCATGCTCGCTTGTGTCATATAAATAGTAAATATGTGGGAATCATGAGTAGTTTAGAATTAATTCCTAAAGTGACAAAAAATTTTGAGAAATGTGAAGTTTGCAGTAAAGCAAAAATTACAAAGAGGCCTCATAAAAGTGTTGAAAAAAATACCGAATTGCTAGAATTATTTCATACTGATTTGTGTGAGTTTGAAGGAATTTTAACTTGGGGTGGTAACCGATATTTTATCACTTTTATTGATGATTTTTCAAAATATACAAACGTATATTTATTAAAAAATAAAAGTGATGCTTTTGAGAAATTTAAAGAATTCCTTCTTGAAGTGGAAAATCAATTCGGTAAAAAGATTAAAAGAATTAGAAGTGATAGAGGCCGGGAGTATGAATCTCTAGGATTCAACTCTTTTGTTCAGTCATTGGGAATTATTCATGAGACTACTCCACCATATTCACCTTCATCAAATGGCGTAGCTGAAAGAAAAAATAAAACGTTAATTGACTTGACGAATCTTTGGGGCGAGGCTATTTTGACTGCTTGCCATGTGATAAATGGAGTGCCACACAAAAAGACTAAAATTGTCCCTTATGAGTTGTGGCGAGGGCATAAACCAAATTTAGGTTATTTGAGGGTTTGGGGTTGTTTAGCTTTTGTGAGGCTTGCAGATCCTAAACGACCTAAATTGGGTGAACGAGCTACTACTTGTGCTTTTCTTGGGTATGCGTTGCATAGTACAGCTTATAGATTTTTTGATATGGAAAATAATATTATTTTTGAATCAGGTGATGCTATTTTTCATGAAAATAAATTTCCTTTCAAATCTAGAAATAGTGGGGGTCAAATAATATCTGAAAATATTTTATCTATGCCTAGCTCTTCTACTCCTTCTCAAGTTTTTCAAGAAAAAGAAAATTTTCAAATCCAACCAAGAAGAAGTAAACGAGTTAGAATTGAAAAAGATTTTGGCCCTGACTATTATCTTTACAATGTGGAAGAAATTCCTCATACGGTACAAGAAGCTTTATCATCACCTGATGCTATTTTCTGGAGAGAGGCTGTAAATGATGAGATAGACTCACTACTTTCAAATAACATGGAAGCTAGTGGCTTTACCTCCAGGTTGTAAAACTATTGGGTGTAAATGGGTCCTTCGTAAAAAACTTAAACCGGATGGAACTATAGATAAATATAAAGCGAGGATTGTCGCTAAAGGTTTTAAGCAACAAGTTGATCTTGATTTCTTTGATACTGTTTTTCCGGTTACTAGAGTAACATCCATTAAACTGTTGATTGCAGTGGCTGCAATTCATGATTTAAAAATTCATCAAATGGATGTAAAAACAGCATTTTTAAATGGAGATCTAGATGAGGAGATTTACATGGACCAACCTGAAGGCTTTGTGGAGCCTGGCCAAGAAAGCAAAATGCGTAAGATAACTAAATCCCTTTATGGTTTAAAACAAGCTCCTAAACAGTGGCATGAGAAATTTGATTCCTGCATGCTTGAGAATGGCTATAAGACTAATGAATGTGATAAGTGCATATATTATAAAACTTGTGAGAATGCACATGTGATTATTAGCCTATATGTGGATGATCTACTTATCTTTGGCTCTAATTTGCATATTATAAATGAGACTAAAAATATGCTTAATAGCCACATTGATATGAAAGATCTTGGTGAAGCCAATTTTATTTTGGGAATTAAAATTACCAAGACTAAGGATGGCATTTTTCTTGATCAGTCGCATTATGTTGAGAAAATTTTAAAGAAATATAACTTTCTAGACTGTAAACATGTTGCTACTCCTTTTGATCCAAGCATACACTTATCTGTTGTAACAAATGAAAAAGAAGTGATTAATCATAAGGAATATGCTAGCATGATTGGTAGTTTGAGATATGTTACTGACTGTACTAGACCTGACATTGCATATATTGTTGGAGTACTTATCAGGTTTACTAGCAAACCAAGTCGAGATCATTGGCTAGCCATGGGAAGAATTATGAGATATTTATTTGGAACAAAAAATTATGGTTTGTTTTATAACAAGTATCCTGTGGTACTTGAGGGATATAGTGATGTCGATTAGAACACTTTGTCAGGTGATTCTCTCTCTACCTCGGGTTTTATTTTTACCTTAGGTGGTGGTGCTATATGTTGGAAGTCTAAAAAACAGACGATAATTGCTAATTCTACAATAGAAGCTGAGCTTATAGCGTTAGCTTCAGCATGTGAGGAAGCGAATTGGTTGAGAGATTTGTTACATGAAATTCCTTTTTGGGAAAAACCAATTCTTCCTGTGTTAATTCGTTGTGATAGCACTGCAGCTATTGGTAGAGTGAACAATCTTTTTTATAATGGTAAATCTAGACCTATTCGAAGGAAACACAATAATGTGAGATCATATTTGAGTAATGGCATCATAACTGTGAATTATGTAAGATCTTGTGATAATCTTGCGGATCCGTTAACCAAGGCCTTGGCGAGAGATAGGGTCTGGAATACATCGAGGGGGATGGGTTTGAAGCCTATAAAATCAAAAACCATGTATGAGGATACCCAACCTAGGGACCAGAGATCCTGTAACTAGGTTCAATGGGAAGAACGAATCATATGGTGGTTGTAAAAATGCACTCTTTAATATTTTGTTATCCATCCTTATGATGTAAGTGCATTTGTCCTGTAATGTTGGAGGGTTGAGTTTTTATACTCTTAATGAAATTCTGTAGCTCTTGTTGAGTGGGGTGTGTAAATTACAGGAACATCCTTGACAGATTTCACCTATGTGAGCATGAAAGTGGGGCCGCTTTCTATGAGAACTAGGC